GACTAACTGACCTGCTTGACTCGGAAGAACCATGCCTATGATTATAAAAGGCATTTGACTGTGAGGACCATTAGGCTTGGCCTTCCTGCAGGGCACCACTGGTGTCTCTTGTAATGGCAACGCTGCAAGCACTGGAAAGTGGGCTGAAACTCACAAAACTCATAATAATAACTGAACAACTGTTACTTTTGACCTTTAAATGCTAGGATCAATACAGACATAGAAACAAACAAAAATGGACTCATATTCTGTTATCAGCCTCCCTTCCCACACAGTCATCTTCATCCTAATTACGTTCATTCTGCTCCAGGAAAAATATAACTTCTGCTCCTTATGTGAATGAGTGTTGCAGTGTTTATTCAAAACCAGAATAGCCGTCTGGTCTTGGGGTGTATTTCATTCATATTATGTAAATAATTGATTCTTTGAAAGACCAGAATAGCTATAAATCAAACCTGTAGGCAAAACACGTTTTCACACATGCTGCTGTTTCCTGTTCTCCCATTTTGATGGAGGCATTGAAAACCCCCAGCCATTACAGTACTGAATAATCTTCTTTTGGTTCTCAGGATAAAGAGGAAGTGGAATTATTTCAGAAGTCTTCCTAACAAAGAACAATTTTAGCAACAGTTTGCTTTCTAAGATAAGGCCACTCACTCACATTCAAAGTTTTTATTGTTTATGAAGAGGGCAAACTTCAATAAACTGTTACAAGATTGGCTATGGATATAAAAGATAATTTCTTGTAGAAATTGCTTTACCTCTCCACATCTCATTTCCTTCAGCTGTAAAGTGATGGCAGAGTTGCCTGCCTATGCTGGCATCTGTAGATAAGAAACAGATTTAGTGCTACACTATAATTCTGCTGCTAGAGAGAGTTCACACAGGATATGCAACAAACTTGCCTAAAAATCAATCCAGATCATCTCCTCTTACTGTGAATGGGTAGGAAACCCAAATGCCCAGGTTTACATTGTACACATTAGACAGGTGTAAAAGTAAAGGAAGAGAGAGAGAATAAAAGACCGACTGACGTACAGGCATTCACACACCCAAATTTTGATATGAAGTGTCTGATCTGAGAGGCACATCACAAACCAGTTTTTCTACCTAATTATTCTTATCTAATACTATTTGTTTTTCTAAACACATTCCAATGAACAGCATCTATGATGCAGGAATCCAAAATTACATAATCATGCTTCATGATATCTTAGTGAGACCATGAGAAGGCATATATAAAAATGTATTATTCCTTCTAGTATTTAAATAGCATTTCTTTCTGAGATGGCACGTAGCGTCTGTTTTAGCAACACTCAGCAACCACGCACAACAACGTGAATGAGGCATAACTATATCTACTTAGCAGAGTTGTTATGGAGTGGCTGACCGTCACTATCTGAGCTGCAGTTTGGCATGGATCAATTTTCATGCAAAAAGAACTGCGGAGCGCTGAAGAACCCAAGCATGCATGGCATCAGTATGACACCTTCTTTGAAAGACACCTCCAGTAGCACATTTGCCTTTACTGTCGTGCTTGGATAAGCACTGTCTTAGCTGGGTGTGAAGACACGACATCATCACTTCCCAAACCCTCTCCTCTAACTGATCCAAATACCAAGTCAGTCCAAAACCTGCTTATATTGTGGCATGTAGAAGGGTCACACTACAGTTTGCACAGGAACAGAGGCTGAAATCATACTAAAGTCGAAGGTCACATTCATAAATCCCTATTTAGATATACAGACTAAGTGCCAATCCCCCAAGGAAAAGGAAAAAGTGAAGGGAGGCATACGGGTACCGAGTATTGTTGAAAACCCAGGCTTTTGTTAGGCTCCTACTTCAGAAATCTTGAGCAGCAAGTAAAAGCCCTAGCATATTCTTTTACACAATAAAAACAAAGAATAAAACAAGGTACCCATGACTGAGAACTTCAAAGGCCTGAATTAAAAACAATTTTCAAAGAACACTGAACATTATCCATGCTGCCAGTGCATTTCCCAATGCTGAATAAATCCAAAGCAAATATCTCACAAAAAAAGAAAGCTTTTCTGCTGAAAACTTCTTGTCCACTTTTAAAGGTGCAAGCAGTTTCCATAATCTTATAGGTAGCCTCTGCTCTGATACAAATTACGCTAAGCAATGAAAGTGCTGTCCCTGTCTTAACACTTGCACCACAAACAACACACGTTGTACAACCTAATTCCGTAATGCTCATTCACATATATAGCTCCACAGAAGTTAATGGGATTATGGAAGGGATTGAAGACATCAGGATCAGACCAACAGAACCTCTCTGGCTCATTGCAAAGGACTCAGCAAAGAGAGAAAACACAATGATTGTTCATCCATCTTAGGAGATATATACCATAGTCTTTGCTCAAAACAAACCAAACAAAAACATCAACAGCACTGCTTTGGTATCCCCACCTGCCCTGTTCTACAACAGACCACAGAGGCATTTAGTGAAGTTCAGGACCAGAAAACTGAAAAAACACCAAAGAAACATAGAGGAACAGATAATTGACCAGTGTAGCCCTCTGCTGCCATTAAGACAAAGCATTCTGTAGTAGTTTCATCAATGAATTAGCACACTGTATACAGTAACACATCAGAATAAATAAATTCTGTAACCAACATCTGCTGCCATCTCTTAATAGTGACCTGAGTGTCTGCATGCACATGCATGGCCCCAAGTACACACACAAAACACATTCTTAAAAATAGGACATGTAATTTCCATGAAGGTTTAACAAAGGTTTTTCCCCCAGATTCAAGCTTTGCAAAAACAGTAAACTCATAATTCAACATTTGCAGAGTACTTCAAAGTTTCTCTGAGCTCTCCTTCCCCCCCCCCCCCCAAATATTTTCCCTCCCCTACAAACAGAAAACACAAGAAGAGCCCTGTTTATCACATGACCTTCCTTTGGAGGAATCCTTACATTTGTACTCTCTGAATCACTTACATAGTAAAGAAAAAGGAAGCTGCAAATAATATTCACATGGAGCACACAATTCTTACCTTCCTGACTTTTAGGTTAGCCTTCTGGGCATGTGAAATTTATTAGGCACTGTTTCTTTCTTCTTGTACAGCTTAGGCATGAGCTTGTGTGTATGTTTCTGTTTATGACTACAAAAAATCTGATGTATTCCAAAAAAGGCACACTTGCTGTGTTTTGACTGCCTAAATATCACTACTTATATCTTTTTATGGTATTATCAATCAATATTGGCTTTATAGAACAGGATTATCTTTTAAATTAACTATTCCTATTTAAAGATAGTAAGTATACTTACTGAACAAGAAAATGGGAGTGTAAAAGAAATGGGAGTCATTAGGGACACTAATGTGACACATATGTATTTTCTGGATGTGTATATGTGCAGCAGAACCAACATGGTCCAGCCTTTAAAAGTCAGGAGATATAAACTCTGCTAGTAACCTTGAGCAAGCTAAACCTCCCCTTGCTTTCCCATACCTTTTAGGTAGAGAAGCTGTCTGGGACAGATACTGTTTCTTATTATGACATGGTAGCAACAAATACAAGAGAGAACAATCTTTCAGTAGCATAATCCGTAAAAATGAAATATTAATGTACCAAATATTGCCCCAGAACAGCAGCAGTAACAGCAGTACCAGGCAGAATAAAGAAGCAGCAACTACACGTAAGCAAACACTGATCTTTGGGTAGAAGAGTCAAGAGCACGTTCTGCTTAGAACAAATCCTACTAACAATCATCAGGCCTCCACTCTGATCCCCTTGATTTGGGAGCTACGGTGGATACCCATGCGTGGAAGTGTAGCAACCATGGCACTGACACGAGCACAGGGCACTTACTGATTAAAAATCAAACATGGGTAACAGCAGGAGCACAGGCAGTTTTGCTGAAATGAGATCTGCCCAGCAGGGCAGGCATGTCTTTTCTTCATTACCCTAACAGCCTAATAAATAAATAAGAGATGTGTCCATGGTAATCATGCTGGTGATTTTTTTTTTCCCTTCCTTTCCAAGACACCTTAGGAGAGAGGTAGCCATACCAGGGCTGCAGAATCTGATCTGTAAATAAAAAACTGAGACCTAAATGATAGTATTTAATTAAATACTTTCTGTGATAGTATTTAATTAAAACTACTGTGAATTCTCAGACAACCATCTATCATTCATCGGGCACTGGTGATACCTGAAGCTGCTGGCAATTATTTTTCATTCCTGAATTTCTTATGAAGAGACTGCAAGAGGTTTTTACACCTCCGCATAGAAGCACACAAAATAGAAATACTCAGGAACGACAGTGAGACTAACCAGTAGCCTCTTCTCCACTTAAAGACACAACGGTTTCATACCCTGCCATTCCCAGCTTCTGTTTTATCCAAACTACAGCAAGTGTCGGCTTCCTAAAGCACAGTATTCTCAGCATGTCACATGCAGGGCAGCATCCATGCACCGCTGACTTGGTAATTGCATTATCTGCAGCCACTGATGAATGAACAACCGTAATGCATACATCCTGGGTTTAGCTCTCTCGGGACAAGGAGATACAGACTCTCCATACCAGATTCACTCAGTTTGCTGAGTCCAAAGGCACACAGAAAATGCCCGTGTGCATTTCCTCTCATTTTAAAAGCAATGTTGTATTCTGCTCCCCCTTCCCACTGACAGGAAAATGACATTTCTATTTACAAGCATGCGAAACTCATTCCCAAATCTACTTCTCTGCATCTGTGATCGATTTTACCTGCAAAGAACAAGGCTTGAATAAAGGCTTGCAAAAATTGTGGTGTAACACCGACTGCCTCTCCAGATACTAGGAAAAAATAGAGAGGCGCTAATATCCCACAGCATAATGGCCCTTTAAAGAACACCTAGTCCTTATGGGTATAAATAATCGCAAGAATAAAATGGAGCCAAGGCGATTTTCATTGCGGGAGGGGGGGTAGGAATGGACCAGCTGCCAAAGCCCTGGCTATTCCGAAAAGTTAAACGCGCAGAGGAGCTTACCTTGGAGAAGCAGCGGCCGCCTCCGTGCCCGCCGAGACAGGACGCCGCAGCCCCGCT